AGGGAGCCCGATGCGGGGCTCGATCCCAGGACCCTAGGATCATGACCTGAGCCAAAGGCAGACGCTTAACGACTGAGCCACCCAGGCGCCCCCAAATAAATAAAATCTTAAAAAAAAAAAAAATTTTAAAAATAAAGAATATAGATGCCTAATATCTAACTGTTTAAGTTGTTTGTATTATGGTGAAGTAAATTCCTGGGTTTGTCAAATTTTGGGTAAAGCATGTTTTGTTTTGTATTAGGATTGAAATTAAGGCCAAGTTCCATTTGGGGGATGATAGACATACTGCAGGACAAGACCAAAATACCTTGGGTAGGGTTACATCTCTAACAGTTAAAGCCCAGCAGGAACCTGGAGCTTGCAGTGACTGTGAGAACGTAAACTCTCCAAGGATTTGGGGCCCCCAGATCCATGAGTGGGGCTTGGGGCAATCTCTGCCAGTCTTAAGAGCAGGGTGATCTCCGTTGAGGTATTTGGTTTACGTGGACAAACCCACTGGTCAGAATAGAGCCTAAGGAAATTATCTGGCAAGTACACAAAGATGTTCATCATATTGCTATTAAAACTAATTTTACAAAAAAGGAACCCAATCTACCCAGTCTATTTGGGGTCTAGTTATATAAATCATGGCACCCTCATACAATATAATTTATGCACTGTGGGAACAGGGTGCCTGGGTGGCTCAGTCGGTTAGGTGTCCCACTCTTGATTTTGGCTCAGGTCATGATCTTGGGGTCCTGAGATGAGTCCCACATTGGACTCCACGCTCAGCGGGGAGTCTTCTAGGGATTCTCTCTCTCCTTCCCCCTCTGCCCCTCCCCACTGCACACACACACTCTCTCTCTCAAATTAAAAAAAATATATATTATGTGGGGATGCCTGGCTGGCTCCATTGGTGGAGCATGCGACCCTTGATCTCAGGTTTGTGAGTTCAAGTCCCACGTTGGGTGTAGAGATTACTTGAAAATAAAATCTTACTTATTTTTAATTTTTATTTTATTTCAAGTAGGCTCCACACCCAGTGTGGGGCTTGAACTCACGACCCTGAGATGAAGAGTCACATGCTCTACCGAGTGAGCCAGCCAGGTGCCCCTTAAAAATAAAATCTTAAAAAATATATATATGTGTATATATTTATTTACATATATATATTCAGAGAAAATACTGCATTAGACTATAGCTGTATTCCTATGTAATTGATATGTTAATATAATTTCAATTCTGAAAAGACATACAAACCACTGCGCCTCCTCTCTGCTGAGGAGGGAACTAGAATGGGTGTGGAAAGCAGTGGTCTAGTCTGTGTTCTGGAGGGAGGGGATGGGGCCAAATCTCTCCCCCATCCCCACCCCCACCCTCTTCTCCCTTCGTCCTCTTCTGCCCCACCGGGTGCTCCCTACCCTGTTCAGCTGACCAGGCCAGCTGGTTGCTCACAGTCTCCACAGTCATGTTGGCAGCGCCTTCCTCTTGGAACAGGGCTTGGACCTGGCGCAGGTCACCAGAGAACAGAGCGTTGTGCACGGCTGGGTCTCGGCAGCAGTGGCGCGGCCTGGTGAGGCGGGCCCGGGCACTGGGGGGGCACCTTCGGCTACGGCACTGCTGGGCCGCGGCCCGCCGCCGGTCCTCCCACTCCAGCCACTCCCGCTGTAGCCGGAGAGCCCGCCGCGTGGAGGAGGTGAACGGGAAGGTCTCCTCTGCCATGGGGAGGGGCGCCGGGGGGGCTGGGCGGCGGCAGCTGGGCAGAGCCGGGTTCCCCCAGCCCGACTACCCCCCGTGTTCTGAGCAGCCGCCCTGCCCCTCCCTTGTGACCCGGCCCGAGGAGCAGCTGAGGCTATAAATAGGTCCTTCGCCCGCCTGGTAAACGCCATTTGCCCAGAGTCATGATCCTGGTGCAGAGAAGGTATTGGGCCAACTCCCCCCAGCCCAGGGCCAAGGCCAACCCCTGCCCTGTTGATGCCCTCCCAAGGGGGCTGCAGGAACCCCAGGGTCGGCATCCTCCCACTTGCCCGGAGGGAGCGTCTTGGGTTGGCAAGGTCCGAGGGGGGTGAAACAGTTGATCTGGGAGATGGGCAGGACAGGAAGAGCCAGAGGCCCCCAGCCTCTCAGCTGTTGGCTGGAGGGCAGACCCCAGCCCAGGAAGTAAGGGCAGGCGGAGACGGGTCCAAACAGCTCTTCCGGTGTCTGCAGTAGTCTGGGTGACTGTGCATGTGTGCACAGGGCTTTACGCCAAGGACATCACTTTTATATCCGTCTTCACTCCAAGGGCCATACTTCCTGGCTCCCTGAGGGTAAAAAGCTTGGTTTTGACCATAAAGTACACAATCAGGCTAATGATCACAGTGGAGCACCTCTGAAATGGGTGCTTTTGTGTCGGTCTTAACCATGAGGAACTTAGGCTTAACAAGGTCACAGCTTGTGAGCGGCGGAGCCAGGACTAGGACCCCAGCTGGCCAGACTGCATAGATGCGGCACTTTGGCTCATGCTGCTGTGGCCACCTGAGGGTGGCCAGGGGTGAGAGCCTCTCCCCGCCGCCCTAGCAGGACAGCGCGGCCTCTAGAAACTGCCCGCCACGAATCTCGTGTCCCTCCATCCCCGAGCTCCTAAAAGGGCTCACCTGCCTGCCTGAGGAAGGCCGAGGGGTGGACCTGGCAACTCTGGGGACTCTGACCGAAGAGACCTTCAAGCCACAAACCCATTCACTCTCAGGAGAAAGCAGCTCTGCTTCCAGGAGCCTCTAGGGGGAGGAATGAGGCCATGAAACAGCCCTGGCTGATGCTCTGCGGAGCCCGGGAAGGGAAGGGGCGGGCGGGGGGGGGGGGGGGGGATGCTAGCCCCGGGGGGCCTCGGAAGCTCTCCTAACCACCCCACCTCACCCAGTGTGCGGGCGGGCAGCCCCTCAGCCCCTCGGGTCGGCCTGGTCTGTGTCCCCCAGCGCGGCGGCTCTCCCAGCCCCCCTGCCCGCCCCACTTCCTCCCCTCCCTGGCTCTGCACCCGCCCGTGCACAGTGACCTCGGACTTCTTCCTCTCCCTGGTCCCCTCACGCAAACAAGTTCCAGCTCCCATTGTCACATTGTCGGTCACCCTCTCAGTGCCCCTCACCGGGACCAGCCCAGCCTCCCGGTGTTCCTTTCTCTGGCCACAGCCTCTGGGCTCTGCCGCCCAGGTGGAAGGATCTGTCTAAGACGGTTCATTTCCTAGCTTGAAAACTTCTGCTGACTTCCAACATCATCCCTCTCCAGGTAAGCCCGATGCCTCAGCTCAGGGCCTCATGGCACGTGGCATTCTCGTGGCGGCTCCTCAGCCTTCCCCGCCATGCCCCCATCGGTGCTCCAAGAGGACCGCACATGTACTTTGTGAAGGGCCTATCCCAATGTGCTGTGGACAGAAGTCCGCCCTGCTGGATGTGGGCTCCAGAGCAGGACCTGAATTTAGTCAGCTGGGTCTCTGCAACCCAGCAGGGCCTGGCACACAGTAGGTCTTGATGTGGTGTTTGGGAGCGCTTGGCTCGTCGCATGCTGGCCCCTTGTGTGTAGGGCATTGACTGAGGGCCCTTGTTCTCTGCCAGAGCAAACACTCATCTGCCTGCCCAGGTGGGTGGCAGCAGCCTGGGCCACTTCCGGCACTGCCCCTACCCTGCCGTTCACCCACTCTGGCCCCAGCTTCTTGGTGGTATTCCAGGGTGGGGGATCCCAGAGGGAGGAATGAGATCATGCACAGCAAGGTCTTCGAGATCCTCAGAGAAAGGCGCCTCTATAAATGCAGCTGTGATTAACCCTGTTGGAACCCACTTGGTGTTTTAATTGCCCCGCCAACGGCCTGGCTGAGCACCCACAGCTGAGTTCCCAGGGTTGGGAGCTGACAAGGCTGGGTGGGGCCAAGAGGGGCCAAGGTGGGGTGGGCGTCCCCTTCTGAGGCGCACAGTAGCCATGACGTGTGGGGTGCAAGGCTGTGTTGACTTCCTCAGCCTCTCTGCAGCCTTCTTGTCTGTCATATGCGCCTGAAGGTACTCTGACTACAACCCAGTCCCCAGAGATATCCTGTGTTCTGTCTCCTGTCCTTAGCTTCCTGAGGGCAGAAAGAGGAGGCTTTTACTCCAGCCCACGCACGAACCCACAGGGAACCCAGGTCTAGTGATAGAACAATGCTAGGTGATTGGATTCCCCACCCTGCCTTCTGGGAGCTGAGCCTGTAGGGTGATGAAGCACACAAGAAGCCAGGACCCTGGTCAGGACTGTGAGAAGTAGAGATCAGGGCTCAAGGGAGTTGAGTGGGGAATGGTAGTGCGGGCCAGGGGCATGGGGTGGTTTAGGTGCAGGAAGACCATACAGGGTAGATGGGCTGTGGCCCAGATCTGAGCTGCATCGGCAGAGCTGGGGAATTAGCAGTGGGTAGAAGAGATAGAAGTGCACGATCTGTTCAGGTAGGAGGGTTGCTAGTGAATTAGCCCCTTCTTGCTCCTGGGCTTGGAACACAAAAGCCTTCTCGAACAGGGCCCCACTAATAGCCTGCTGAACATGGAATTCTTGCAGCACTCACTCACTTCAGCTTTGAGACGGGGATCCAGGGGGTCAGGCTTTCTTTGGGAAGAAAGAGATGAGCATCCTTCCCCAGAGCAGTACCCAAGCCCATTGGAGGCCTCGGACTCACAGCCCCTTAGGGAAGGCTGGGGCTGAGGCAGGGGAGGCTGGTGGTCAGACTAGGGTCTTTAACCCACACCCGCTCAACCACGAGTTGGGGGATAATTCCTTTCTTCCCTTCATCCCAGAAAGGAAAACAAGGTTGGCGACTTGGTATAATTACACCTTTTACACCCCGCACATGGCCCTTGTCCAACTCTGGTCTGAAAGGTGGCACAGCAAAGCTACAGTGACAAGCAGTTGCTTGGCCACACAGTAAAGTGGCACTGGATTACAACCCAACGCATAAGACAACACCCATGAGTCCAGACGGATATGAATGTAGGACTAAGAAATGAGGAAGAATTCCAAATAAACTATATAGATATTCTGTCCTTAGAGAGGGTGGAACATAACTCCTTGTTTGTTAAGTGTGGGCTGCACCTAGTGACTTCCTTCCAAAGAGGACAGCATGAAGAGGGAGAAGAAGCAAATTTACAGCGGAGAAACCTGACAGATGCTACTTGAGCCAGGTCATCAAGGTCACCATCAACCCTTGATGTGTGACGAGAATATACCTTCCTCGGCAAAACACATAACTCCGGTCTCATCTTTCTTTAAGGAGACAGATTCCAATAGAGGGCATCCTGGAATATGCCTGACCCGTACTCTTTGCAGCTATCAGAGTCATGAAAAACGAGGAAAGCCTGAGGAAATGCCAGAGCCAAGAGGAGCCTAAGGAGGCACGGCAACTAAACGGAATGTGGGGTCCTGGAACAGAAAAAGGACGACAGGGAAACTGAATACATCTGAATAAAGCATGAAGTTCGGTTCATAGTAATGTCCCAACACTGGCTGGTTAGTTGTAAGCAGTGTGCATCCTAGTATAAGAGGCTAATGACAGAGGAAACTGGGTGTGGGGTATATAGGAACTCCCTGGATTATCTTGCAATAATTCTGTAAATCTAAAACTGTCTAAAAGGAAAGTTTATGAAGAGAGAGAGAGAAAAGGAAAACGAGCAGCTTGGCTCCGCCCCAGCCAAAGCACCACCGGCAAGACAGATGGACAAGGAGCAGGGGTGGGTGGAAAGGAGAGGAGGAGGCGAGTGAAGTGGGCAGCTGCTTTATTTCCGAACAAGATGCCGCATGCAGCCCCAGCCCTGCCCCCACACCTGGGAACCTGAGCACAGGTGAGCTGGGCAGCTGCAGGCCTCTCGAGACAAAGCGGAGGGAAGTCTGAGAGTGTTCCTCCCCTGACCAGAGGGACAGGTCGCCACGGCTGTGGTGTGACGACTCAGCTGTCCAGGGAATAGGGAGTAAAGGGATCGGGGTCCTCTAACGTCAAGGGGAGGCCGGAGGGGGACACACCTTCCCTGTTGGCAGGAGGAAAAGGAACAACAGCTGCGTCCAAGGGCTTGGAGGACAGTAGAGCGGAAGGGCCATCCTTGGGCCGAGTTCTGGAATGCCAAAAGAAGACCCAAAGTGAGAGCAGTGTAGAATCGGAAGGACGAGGGCGTTCCTAGGGAAGGCATCCTGGGTGGGGGCAGCCATAGTCCCGAGCTTTGTTTATTCTCCCATCATGCTGGGCTTCCTCTCTCCCTGGGACTCAATCAGACCCAACCAGAGCCTTACCTGGGTGCCAAGAGGCTGGCTGCTCACGGTGGGGGCCTTGCCGTGGGGCAGTCCCAGCTGCTGGTCCCACAGAAGAAGTCCTCAGGGAGCTCACTCAGGAGTCCATCCAGGTCATCTGCAGGGGTCGTGGAGAGGGTAAACAGAATTAGTGACAACGTTAGGCTTCCACAGGACTCAGGTCCAGGGCTCCTGCCTTTCAGGGGGGCCTGGACCTGGCTGCACAGCTGGGGAGGTAGCTCCCCCGGGCAGTGGTGACTGGGCTAACGGGCCTGACCCCCATCTTCCCTCTGCTTCCCACATACGCACACACCACAAGAGACAGGGACAAAATGCCCGGGCCTTTCAGTCAAGAAAGACACTCCCCTTGGCCTTGGTGATACCCCTTTTGCCATCCAGAGGCATAGCGCTTGAGCAGATAGGCTTCAGAGGTCCGCTAGTGCGACGCGCTCATTGGACAGAGGAAGACAAAAGGCCGGGAAAAGCCATGAGACGCATTCAGAATCATGGCATCCATTAATCTGGTTTCTCACCTGAAGAGGGCGAGACATCAGCCCCTTCCCTGATGGGCCTTCCTGGGCGTGTGGAATGAAAGTAACTGTCCCTGACTGCAGTTCTCAGCTGGGTGCTTATGTCTGAGAACTTGGAAATAGAGCTGACCTCAGCAATCCCTGCTGGTACTATTACTGTTAACAATAGCAGCTACCACTCGCTGAGCGCATGCTCAGGGCCACACCTGCTGTACTCGTCCCTTTCAGTCCTCACAGTACCCTTTACAGGGCATGGTTCTTCCTGTTGCCATCCCCACTTTATCTGAGAGAAGGAGTTTAAAGAGGTCAAACAGCCTGCCCGTGAGGAGCATACTCAAGCTCCATCTGATGCCAGAGTCATGGCTCCCAACCAGAGAAGTCCCGCGTGAGGGCCGGGCTCAGGCAGCCCACGGAGTCAGAAGAACTAGGCATTACACCTGCAGAGACCAGCTTCCAGTCTGGCACAGAGCACCTGACAAACACGCTGCTGGAAGTCCACTTGCTGGCATTCAAACTTTAATTAAGGTGCCCAGCACCGTACTTGGGGAAGTAAGACTGGAATTTGATTGTAACAGCAAAAGGTGATGGGGCGCCTGGGTGGCTCAGTCGGTTGGGCGTCCAACTCTTGATTTTGGCTCAGGTCATGATCTTGAGGTCCTGAGATTGAGCCACACATTCAACTCCGTGCTCAGCAGGGAGTCTGCTTGAGATCCTCTCTCTTCCATTCCCTCTGCCCCTCCCCCGCCTCAAATGAATAAATAAATCTTTAAAAAAAAAAAAAGTGCCCCTCACTAGCTACACTATGACTGTCTGGGGAAACTCGATGTTAAATGAAGGGGAATGAGCAGACATTGTGGGCCTAGGAAACTAGGAATCAGAGTAAGAGCTAGTATTGGTGTTTCCCAGCCCTGTCCAGTCACAGGGTGGTCCAGTTAACCACCCTGTCCAGTGGTTACCTGCTTGGCAAGTCTGTCCCTACAATGGAGATGTGACACCAGCCACAATATTCTACAGGCAACTCTCCTCACTTATTTCATGACCACCAGCAACCTTCTGATGATGGTTTGGCTTGTCAGCCAGCTTACTTATAAGGAACGAGTGCAACATTCCAGAGAAGATTCCAGCATAAGGGGTAGATACTTTTTCATAGGCTGTAAGTAAATGGGCTTTGTGGTTTATCCATTGGTCTAACGTGAATTTGGTTAATGTGAGACACTTAACCCATAATCCCATGAACTTGGGGGCCAGACAGGGTTGAATTTATGGAATCAAAAAGCTAAGGATCAGACTTGGACTGTGCTAGCTTCACCTGGGTGATGCTGCCTCCTGAAGAACAAGCTGGCCATACCCTGACAGGTATGTTTTTGGGCTTCTCAGGTCTGTATCTTGGTCCCACCCTAACCACGTGGAGGTTTGATTCCTCAGCACTGCCTGAAGGGTATCTGAGCTTAGTCAGGATGGAGAAATCAGCCCCCGGAAGACCCAAGGTGAGGTACAAGGATGGTGCCAGTCCATCTCCTCCTTGTGGCTAACCACATGGTCTAGAAACGGGGGAGACCTGTGGATCCCACTGTATTTGCTTTATGTGGCCCCTGGTCACACTGCTAATTAGTCTGTGGCCTACAGCCTTGCCAGAAAAGATACCACATCTGATTTCTGTAAGATTCTATAAGGCCCAAAGATTCACAGAAGGAGGGAAAAGACGCAGCCGGATTCTCCTGGCTGTGCTATCCAAGAGGAAATAGAAGGAGAACCGCTTTTGCTCCTGGGTGGGCTGACTGCCTTACCTGCTTCTGGGAGTTCTTCCTCCGGGGATGCCACTGCCTCTGCATTCCGTGCTGTTCTGAGGCCTTTTCCAGATTTTGCAGTCTCATGATGGAGGCTGCCAGGGAAGCTTCCTGGGTTCTGGGGACAGAGAACCTGGTTACTAATGCCCGTGCCCCTGACATCCTTCTGGACAGTTCCATGTCCACCCAGACAACCTCAAAGGAATAGGTAGGGGTTCAGGAAAGACACAACAGAGGAGTGTGGCAGAGGCCAGTCCCCCAGGGGAGGGAGCTGAAATACCAAACACCCCAAACAGCAGATAATTAAAAACACAAAAAACTTTTTTGGGCGATTTTCTTTCCTAATTCTGTTGGTATCTAGTGTTTTAGGAAATCTATATATAGCTGGAGCAGAGTGAAGAGGCCATTCAGAAATATGTTGAGGATTTAGCCAGGGATTAAAAATGAGCTTTGAGGGGCACCTGGGTGGCTCAGTTGGTTAAGCGTCCAACTCTTGATTTCAGCTCAGGTCATGATCTCAGGGGTTGTGAGATTGGGCCCCATGTTGGGCTAATGCACTGGGTATGGAGCCTGCTTAAGATTCTCTCTCTCTCTCTCTGTCCCTCCCCTACTAAAAAAAAAAAGAAGAAGAAGAAGAAAAGCTTTTAATAATCTGCACACTAGGGGCGCCTGGGTGGCTCAGTCGTTAAGTGTCTGCCTTCGGCTCAGGTCATGATCCCAGGGTCCTGGGATCGAGCCCTGCATCGGGCTCCCTGCTCCGCAGGAAGCCTGCTTCTCCCTCTCCTGCTCCCCCTGCTTGTGTTCCCTCTCTCGCTGTGTCTCTCTCTGTCAAATAAATAAATAAAATCTAAAAAAACCCAAAACACCAACAATCTGCACACTAGCTAATATACAGGCAGGTAATGGAAATTAGTAATTAAGCTGTTAACTATCATTAGCCCTAGGGGATGGGAATGGAGAAGAGTAAGTTTCACGTTTTGCTTTATTCTATACCATTTCAATTTTTGTCAGTGTGTGTGGATACCTTGAAATTTAAAAGAAAAAGAAGGATGATTTTTTGGAAGTGGGGTGATTTTGAGAAAATGTGGAAGGTTAAGGGGAAAGATGAGAGCAATGGAAGTAGCCCGTTAGAGCTAAAGGTGTAACTTGAGTAGAAGTCATCAAGTCTAACCCATTCACTTTTTAGAAGAAGCAACAGTAGGGGTGGGGACAGGACTTGGACTTGCCCAAGGTCACTTACAAATTACCAGCAGAGCGAGGACATGACCCAGGTCTCCTGACCCCCAGGCCAGGCCATGACAACAACCCAGGATCCCAGGAAGGGGGGAGGTGGCCACAGAGGGGACACCATATGCCAAGTCAAGGCCTGGCTCTGCACTCTTATCCTGGAGTGGAGCTGCCTGGAACCCCAGTCTCCTTTAGTTCCCCAAAGGGGGGTGTCCCCACCTGAGTTCTGTGCGGGTGCCCCCTCACCCAGTGGAGGTGGAGGCCCGGAGGGCAGACGCAGGGCAAGGGCTGGCTCACACGACAGGCCATACGCGGCTCACTGTTCTCCGCACTGCCGCCTGTAGCTGATCTGACCCTGAGTCAGATCTGAGGGCCGCACCCGCTGGGAAACCCACAACCTGGTTAGTTCTCAGGTAACTCCTATCCTCTCCGATGCCCAAGTCTGCCATCAGATCCCCAAGAAGCCAGCTACTCCAGGTCCTGTTACTGTACCGGCTGGCAGGCGGCTGCACCAGGAACAGGAGGAGATGGCCCCGTCCCCGAAGGCATTGCTTCACCTCAGGGCAACGGCCCCCTTCACGCCTCTGCTCCCCAGGGTGATGGACGGGAAGATACCAGAAGATCCAGCCAGAAAGAGGCCCTGTCAGTCTCCTTTCCATCCTGCTCCTCTTACCTTGGGGAAGGGCTGAGATGGCTTGAGGAAGTTCCCATCCCCGGAATCTGGGCTGTAAATATGGACCAGGTTGTTGGGCGTCACGTTGAGGTAGTGATTTCGGAGCGAAGGAGAAAACACTCCAACCTGGAGCCGAGGAAGGGGGAAGGTCAGAGCCCTCATGGAGCACTAGATGCTTTCAGATGCCACCTGGTCCCCCGCCTACCTCCCCCTTGCTGGCCTCGGCACCAGGGTCACACAAATCGCTTCTGCCCCAGCCCTGGGCCAGAGAAGAACCACTTACCGCACCCACCCTCCTGCCCTCGCAGCACAACCCCTCATCCCCATCCACCTCCGAAGAACGGGAGCCAGGCAGACAACTCAGGGGCCTTCTCCAGGGTGGGAGGGTTGGAGAGCAGGTCCCCGTTCAGAGCTCCCCATACCTGCTTTAGCAGCAGCACCGAGCCAGGCTTCAGCTCACTCTGACGGGTCTCAAGCAGCAACCTGTGCACCGTGCCCTGCATCTCTCCTGCAAATACCGCATGGCCCATCAGTCTGGGTCAAGGGCAGCACAGGGACTGGTTTGGGCCCTGGCTGGGAAGTGGGCCATTCACTGCCTCAATTTTCCCGTCTGCGAATGGAGAGGACGATTCCTCCTCATCTCCTGAACTCAACGAAGGCCACTCATCAGACTCTCCCAGGACCTGACTCCTCACCCGTGGGGTCCTTGAAAACCACGCTGGCGTCCATTGTGCTCCGACTCAGGGACTTGATCATCACTGCCATGTTGGGGACCTTGTTCCTGGGAAGCTGCTTCAGGGCTGCCTGGTTATAGGGAGAGGCATTTGCTGAGCAAGCCACGTCCTACCTGTGAGGTTCCCAAGTGTGCCAGGGCAACCCGGGAGCTGGGAGGGGGCGCAGAGTACAGATGTGGTGAGGATCTGCCTTTTGTGGAGGGCAAAAAGGCAGTCTGAAGGACTCATCCTGTCTCTCTCTCTCTAGCAGACCCGAGGCTGGCAGGTCCTTCATTTATCCCCCCTGCTTCCTTTCTCCAGCATATATGTATTTATACAGAGCTCCATCACCGCGGGCCATGGGCACATGTCCGCACAGGACCCTGGACCTCTAGGGAGCTTGAAAGGTAGCCGTGTACTCACCCCACCTCATCCAGGGCCTGGACATGCAGAGACATACCCATACCCCACTTTCGCCTTCCACCTGTGCCCAATAGTAGTGAAATGCTGGGTGACTGGAAGATACAACCAAAGGGCCTCCATGCAGCTGCTCAGAGATAGGCCTGGGGTAAGAGGGAGCAAATGGACAGCCCCTTCCCTAAGGTGGAGTAGGACAGCAGGTTGGTGAAAAGGAGAAAAATGGTCTTTCTTGCACGTCTCAGCACCCAGGATCCTTACCTTCCGCAGCACCATGATGATGCTGTAGGTACAGAGGAAGCAGGTAGAATCTCTCTCGTCCAGGCCCAGAGCAGATTTCATGGCCAGCCAGGGCCCTCGCCCAAAATCCTCCTCCGCCGATGCCTGGGAACTAGTAACAATCTGGCACCACAGAGCAGAGGGGGAGCCTGCATTAATGGATTCACCCTGCTACAGACCTTGGCTGAGACAGGATGGGGGGCTGCGAGGGAAGGGCGAATTCCCTATAGCATGGTGACCAGTCTCTCCTCTCCTACATCACAAAACAGTATGTGAGATTTTGTTGCATAGCACATCTTTCACTAAGCAGAGATAGCAAAGGTGCTCCTTATTTTATTTTATTTTTTTATTTTATTTTAATCAAGTCCTGACTTTAGTTGCATTGAAGCAAAAGGCTACGTCTCTTGTGTAATAGACTCGAGAAGTCTTAGGGCCAGGGAGCCCCCATACACACTGACAGGCTTCCAGAGTGCCTTAGCCATTTTTTTTAAAGATTTTATTTATTTGGCAGAGAGAGAGACAGCGAGAGAGGGAACACAAGCAGGGGGAGTGGGAGAGGGAGAAGCAGGCTTCCCGCAGAGCAGGGAACCCGATGTGGGGCTCGATCCCAGGACCCTGGGATCATGACCCGAGCCGAAGGCAGACGCTTAATGACTGAGCCACCCAGGCGCCCCGAGTGCCTTAGCCATTTTGAAACCAGTCATAGTTTATTTGGGATGCCTCTGGCTTGACTATTAACCTCCTTATATTAAAAAATGCTTTGGGGCACCTGAGTGGCTCAGTTGGTTGAGTGTCTGACTGTTGGTTTCAGCTCAGGTCATGATCAGGTCATGGGATCAAGCCCTGCATCGGGCTCCTCACTCAGTGCAGAGTCTGCTTTGTCCCTCTCCCACTGCACCTCCCTGTGCCCTGCTCTCACGCTCTCTCTCTCGAATAAATAAATAAAAAATCTTTTTTTTTAAAAAAAAAGATTTATTTATTTGAGAATGAGAGACAGAGAGCACGAGAGGGAAGAGGGCAGAGGGAGAAGCAGACCCCCTGCTGAGCAGGGAGCCCGATGTGGGACTCGATCCCGGGACTCCAGGATCATGACCTGAGCCGAAGGCAGTCGCTTAACCAACTGAGCCACCCAGGCGCCCCAATAAATAAAAAATCTTAAATAAAAGAATGCTTTGTATCCAGATGAGTATTTGCTACTCTGGATCTGAAGCGGGCTGGTGGATCTGTGGAAGTGCAGCAAAGAGAATTAAAAGCAAAAGTAGGTCTGAGGGCAGAGCAGGTCAACCAGAATCCCAGTGAGGAGGGAAGATGGGTCTCACCCACCAAAAAGAAACCCACTGGAGGCCAGACGAAGGCAGATCCTTCCCAGCTCAGTTCCCCAAAACCTGAGAGGAGGGGATCCTGAGATACAATTTCCTCATACTTCTGACACTCCCCTCCCCCGAGGGAAGATGGAAGTTAGCTGGGCCTTTCTTAGATGAGAAAGAAGACTGGACGCATGACTTCGGGCAGCATCAGGAGAGGCTTCCCCTTATGCCAGTAAAACCGCCACCTCTCCAAACGGCCTTCACCATGTGCGTGACCTTTGGTGCATGACCCCGGGAACAGGCCTAGCAGCGTAGACTGCTTCCCACCTCCTGGAACCCACAGGGATGTCCCTTGCTCGCTCTTAAACGATGCCCAGGAAATCAGCATTTGCGTGGAACTAGTTACCTCTGTCCGGAATTTAGCCCGAGCACTGTGAGTCGGAGTCTGGGGTGTGGAAACCACGATCTCCTCCAGATTCTTCTCACTGTGCTACAAGGGGAGAGGGAAGGGGAAGGTGAGAGCAAGCACAGCAGCTGTTACCTACAAGTACAGCTTCTTGTCTGGCTTACATAATGAGTTCAGGAAACTATCAGGGACAATTAACACATATCATATCTCTCCTAACGAAGTCTCGGGAGCCTTGTTGGCAGCTCAAAAAAGATGCTTTGGGGATTGTTTAGGAAATGTGAGGAAGCTGGAGCTGGCCCAGGAGCAGAACCCAGGGCTTCCTGAAGGAGGCAATGACCCGGATAGAGAGGCCTGGGATAGGCCCAGGGGCAGCCTTCCCCAAGTCCCTTCTCAGGGACCTACCCCTTCCCCACAGAGCTCCAGCCCAGGAGGAATGTGGACGGCCTCCTTGGATTTTCCTTAGAGTGCTAGCAAAGGGCAAGGAACGGGCAGAAATTATTTGAACCACCCTTAAAATGCGAGAAAAGGAGTACACCAATCACAACCAGAGTGGACCCTCAAGGTCCCATGATCTGGAATCTGATCCAAGATGGTTTGATGGATACTGTCCCTCCACCATCGCTGAAATCCAAACTGTCAGCATAGCGCAGCTTCCCCACGCGGACCCCACACGCCAGCCACAGTGACCTGTTCCGTGTACCTCTGACAGCATCCTGCCCTTACACCTCTGTGCCTTCGCACACACTCTTCCCTGTCTTCCCACTGCTGAAATGCCTCCCAGAGCACAGCCTTCCTACACACACCTGTTAACCTCCTCCCTGACCCTCCAAAGCCCACTCAGGAAGCCCAAGGAGCCCAGTGTCTCCGCAGCACCCAGGGACACTGCATTTTACGTATCATCGTTCCTTCGCATCGGCTTCTTCTGCTGTGCTGTGAACAACTTGGGACAGGAGCTACTTCTATTTTAACCTCTGCGTTCTCAGTTCCAAGCAAATCGCCCAATGCATACAAGTCCTTAGTAAATATAAGTGAACGGATCTTCCCGCCCCAGTGCTAGCAACAGGAGGCGCTCAACAAAGGAAAGTCGTGAAGTTCTCAGAGCCTGAAGCGCTCTCTCACCTGTGGCTTTTCGAGCATTCAATTCTTCCTTCCCACTTCTTTGAACTTCTGCAGCTTTGGAAACCCCCTCTCTACACTTCCTTCCTTCCCTCCCACCCCCCAGGAGTAAGGATATTGTGGGACTGGATGGCACTGGAACTCCTGCTTCTCCCTCCCGCCCCACCCCCTCCCGCCTCACCCCCCGCCCGTGTCCCGGACAGGTCCAGCTTCTGCCGAAGACAAGCTGTCTCTCACCTGATGAGGCAGGACCCCGGCCGGGCCGGGGAAGCGGCGAGTTTTGGCGTGGGCGGGCTGCTGGGGTGTCCGGTGGGCGGCAGTGACCAGCTGCACCAGGTGGTTGGTGACGATGGGCGTCTGCAGAACTGCCTGGGGAGCCGGGGAGGAATGGGGGCTCTTTGGGGTGCTGAGAGGACACTTGACAGAAGACACTGGAGCTCGGGGTTGTAAGGGGCTCTGGGGAAATGATCCAGAGATAGTCCTTGAGGGAGTAGAACAGATCGAGTTGGGAGTTCGTGGTCCGGGAAAATGAGATTTGCCAGGTATGGAGGCATTTGGACACTGGAATGAGTGACCAGGGAAATGGTTTTGAGGCCTACTCCGAACAGGCCTGCCAGCTGCTTGGGGAGGCTGTGGTGCCTGAACTGGGGGGCCCTTCTGACAGGCTTCCCAGGGGGGCTGCTGAGCAGGAACCACTGAAGCAGTTGGGATGGGAAGGTTGCTGGTGGCACCAGATCTCAAGGGGGGTTGTAGAGTCCTACAGTGGACAACAGGCTCTAGAGGCTCATCGTGGGCTGACAGGACACTAGGTATGTGGGGAGCAGGTATGGGCCCCTTTTGGCAAGACCTGCTCAGATCAGCTACCCGGGCCTTTTTAGCCACTGCTGAGTCCTCCTGATGCCAGGTGGGCAGGATTCCTGGGGCCTCACTGCTGACTCCAATGTCCAGCTCCATGCCAGGCCCCTCCAGCTCCATGCTTGCCAGGACCTCATCAAATTCATCTTGTTCAGGCCCCTCGAAGCCCCCAGTCACTGGTTGCTGGTTCTCAAACCTGAGAAGGGGGCAGGAAGCGGAGGTCTGGGGTCTGGCTGGCTCTTTGAGCACTTCGGTCAGTGTCACTTGTCTCTGATGGCCAGTCCAGCTGCTAGAAGTCAAGACAGGCCTTAGGGGGGCTGTTCCTACGGAAGGTGGACCCCTGATGGCCCCAGGCATGCTGGAGGTAGGAAGGCGGAGTCCCAGAGCTGACAGGCGCAAAGCCTCTGAAGGAGCAGTGGGGCCTGATGGCAACTGCCCAGAAGACTGTGCCTGCACGGAGTCCTGTGGCCTGGAAGAGACGGGTCTCAGGCACCCAGCCTTCACAGGCCGCGAGCCAGCAAACTGGTTCTCTGCATCCTCCACAGCAGACAAGAAGTCCTACAAAGAAGCAGAGACGGTGGGTCTTGGCATCCAGAAATCAAGAAACACTCTGCTTTTACTGTTTCAGGCATGTGGTATGTTTGTAGGGGCAGATACACGTAAGCAAGAAACCAAGGCATGGAAGGCTGTGGTGAGGTCTCTCACCACCTTTGACCTTGCCCATAAGCCCACTCCCCCACTTTTTTTAAAGATTTTATTTTTTTAAGTTTTTTTTTTTTTTTTAAGTAATCTCTACATGCAATGTGGGACTCAAACTTACAATCCCAAGATTGAGAGTCGCATGGTCCACCGACTGAGCCAGCCAGGTGCCCCAGCACCCCCAGACTTCTCCCAGAAACATTCAGGGGTGCCTGGCTGGCTCAGTTGGTGGAATATGTGACTCCTGATCTCAGGGTCGTGAGTTCAAGTCCCACTTTGCATGTAGAGATTACTTAAAAATAAAATCTTTAGCACTATATGTTAACTAACTAGAATTTATTTTATTTATTTTTTAAAGATTCCATTCATTTATTTGAGAGTGAGAGAGAGAGAGAGAGAGAGAGAGAGAAAGAGCACGAGCTGTGGCGAGGGGTGGGTAGAGAGAGAAGCAGACTCCCTGCTGACCTAGGAGCCCGATGCGGGGCTCGATCCCAGGGCCCCAGGATCACGTCCCGAGCTGAAGGCAGATGCCTAACCAACTGAGCCACCCAGGCGCCCCACTAACTAGAATTTAAATAAAAATTTGAAGAGGGGCGCCTGGGTGGGTCAGTCAGTTAAGCGTCCGACTCTTGATTTCGGCTCAGGTCATGATCTCAGGGTTGTGAGATCGAGCCCTGCATTGGGCTCCACGCTCAGTGGGGAGTCTGCTTGAGATTCTTTCCCTCTCCTTTTGCCCCTCCCCCCTCTAAAAATAAATAAACAAATTAATTAATTAAAAACTTGAGGAAAAAAGTCCTAAAAAAAAAAAGAAATTTTCTAAGGCTAAGTCTTTAGGTAGCTTCTCCTGGGGGGCGGGGGAGCAGGCAGAAGCAAACATACCTGGGCACTGAGAATCAAATCACCCAAGGTCACACACGCATCTCAAGGAAACAAGTTTCCTGGTGTCCAGCCTGTGCAATAGGGGTCTCTCCAGCTGGTCATGCTGCCTGTCCTCAACCCACTCCTCCCCCCATCCACCAGACACACACACACACACTCACACACACAGCCTTCAGTAAGCCAGAGGCCTTGGATCTAGCAAAATAGGCAGAAGTTAAATATAGCTTTTCAAGCAAGTTAAATTAAGTACGGATTCCAGTTGGGAAGCAAGGTGAGATTGACACCTTCAAGAGCAACAGACCTGTTCTGAGGGTGTTTTTGAGTCAGAGCTGCTGATTTAACTGACAGGAAGGTCCCCTCCACCACCATCCTCTGCCGCTGCATTGGACTGTCTAGGCCAGGGCAAGGTTTTTTCCTGCTTTGTGTATTATCAGGAGAGTAGCATACTCCAGCAGGACTACCATGGGGTTTAGCAATATCAGAATTATAGCAGCAATGAAATCCTGATGATCCTGGAGGTTGATGGATCCCTTTTCCCCTAAAGGGCTCACTCTTAGACATGACGTCATCCGCCTGGGGAAGGGGGAAAGGGACTGGTCTTGGAACAGAAACTTGAACTCTTTTTTTTTTTTTAAATTTAATCTCTACGCTCAACATGGGGCTCGAACTCAAGACCCCGAGATCAAGAGTCACATGCTCCACTGAGCCAGCCAGGTGTTCCAGAGACCTTCACTCTTAATCCCATTGCCGGCTCAGCAGTCCTCCCATCACCTGGTAAGACCCAAGTGGGGCACTTAGCAGTCACTTTTTCAGCCTGTAATTACACATTTCCAAAGCTGAAAGACAAAGACAAGGACACATCTCCTCAACAAAGCTGGCAATTTTGAATTTTTTTTTTTTTTTAAAGATTTTATTTATTTATTTGAGACAGAGAGAATGAGAGAGAGAGAGCACATGAGAGGGGGGAGGGTCAGAGGGAGAAGCAGGCTTCCTGCCGAGCAGGGAGCCCGATGCGGGACTCGATCCAGGGACTCCAGGATCATGACCTGAGCCGAAAGCAGTCGCTTAACCAACTGAGCCACCCAGGCGCCCGGCAATTTTGAATTTTTATATAAAAACAAAATTCAAGTCCCCAAGTGATGACGAGAACATCTAACAATTTGAAATGGCACTGGGTGCCAGGGACCATGTAAACATTTTACCAGAATTCTCTCAATGAGTTTTCATGATGGCCCTAATAGGTGTTATTATTATTCCTGTTTTACAGATGCAAAAGTGGAGATTCAGAAGTTAAGTAACTTCACAGAACCAGGACTAGAACCCATATGTGTCCCTGTCACCATGTCTTAGGGCCTCAATGAATGAGACATGCCAGAGACCGGTTTTTAAGAGGTCTGAGGAAGGTCTGTTTTCCCTTTCAAACCTTAGGTTCCAAAAGCTTCAAAGGAAGGGGAACGTGGGGCTTGGGTCCCTGGTGCAGCATTCATCACCATACTAGGTACAAATGGGGCATCTCGACAAATTCTAAACATGATTTTTAAAGCACAGCACTGGGAGACAAAAAGTAAGTTTGAATGGCTTGTCATTGATAAATAAAGTAATTCTACTCTATAAATGTAGTTTAGTATCTACGTATGTTAGCCTGGAATCAGGAGGCCAAGACCTCACACTGGTTGTTGGTGCTGTATTCTTACCTTTTTTGCATTTTACTCACTTAAATCCTGCCTCTTTCTGAGAAGGATTTCAGGTAGCAATTTTGGACCTCCCAGATGAAACTATATCCATTGGATCTGAGTGGGAAGAGAGCTGTGGGGATTGCTAGCTAGTTCAGTGATCTCTGACTATACCCCAAGATTAGAAATAGCCCTGCCTGGGCCCATCCCCAGAAATTCCGATTTAATTGGTGTGTGTCAGGGCCTCAGCAGGAGTGATTCTAACGTGCCAGCTTCCGATCTAGTCTAATCCCTCATCTTCTGAGAGAGAGGGAAGGGAAGAAAATCTGAGGCAAAAGAACATCCCTCCTATTATAGAAGAGAAAACAGAAGGCCAGAGAGTGAAGTAATTTGCCCTGGCTCACATAGCCACTTGGTGACCCCAGGCCTCCTGTCATCCACTAACTGTGTTGTCTCTGGTTCTCCATAAACTTTCTTCCCACCTCAAGTATTCCATCATAAAGGTGAACTGAATCATCCACATGACCCAGCTTCCAGGCAAAGGCCCTTGTAATTTAAAGGCATGCCAATTAGGCAGCTCTGTTTTTCTGTCTCTAAAACAGTTAAGTAGGCTGTTTACATGTCTCATCTTCTCTCAGCCTGTCACAGACAAAAAAAGCTATACATGTCAAGTAAAAGGAGGCTGGGGCAGACTGCTTCAAAATGTTCTGGGTCTGGGTGTTGACAACTCAAGACCTCCTCTGCTATCTCTGATCACCAACACTTCCTTACCTCATCTTCAAACTCTTCTTCCACAGTAAACAGCTTCTGCAAACTGCATGCCTGAAAGGAAAACAAAGCAATTGAGGTTGGAGGAGAGATACTGTTTGCAAGTACATTCTGTCCTCACTATGCTTCTTCCAATTCTAACAAGACCATCAGGTGTACTGTTTTGTTTTGTTTTTTTGCTAGTGCTGAAGAAGGAATAAGGGATGAGGAG